TAATCATCAGAGATGTTGCTCCTAGGAGCAATAGGAGCCAATGTTGCTAGTAAGATTTACAGGGCTCAGATATATGTGAACAAGAGTCTAAATTGAATGGAAAGTGTAACCTCTGCAGGAGTGTGGGACCCATTAAACTGGTTCACCTTCAAAGAGTGCTGGATCCTAAATGACTTCTGGATATCCTGGAAGATTTTCCATCCATTATCACTGTCCAACCTGCCAAAGCTCTAGCTAATCTGCATCTGAAGGCCCAAGTACCTGCAACAACTAGGGTCACTTGTGCCCAGTTTTGGCTGGTCTGTTTACTGATGCAAGATAATCTGAATTTAAGTGTCCACACTCTGATGGAATCTTGGATAGATTACTGCCACATGGTCTACATGGGTATTTCCTTGAAAACAGTGCAGAAGCTGAAGCTGTCTTGGAATTTGCAGCTCATCTGCTGGTAGAAGGAGCTAGGAGGGATATTACACCCACCCCAAAAACATGGCACTGGCTGCTAGTGAGTTATCAAACCCCATTTAAGGCCTTCCCATTAGCATATAAAGCCCTTAATGACTTGGACTCTAGCTATCTGGGGGAGTATCTCCCCTTTACCAGCCAAGCAGAGCCCTTCAATCTACAAGATGCCTTGCACATTGCCCCCAGTGTAAATGAGGTAAGGAGGGTGGGGGTTTAAAATGGGGTACAATCAGTGACAATCTCCTCATTTGTGGAACTGTAGTAGTTGTTTTGTTGGCAATTTGAGTATTAGCATTAGTAAGTGGATCTGTGCTCCTACTTTGGAGGAATGACAGAATATGAGAAAATGAATAGATGAACAAAAGACAGTTGATTTGGACACTTTACTCCTCATTCCTAAAGATCTTGTGTAGAGACATAGAACAGAGGCTTCTTGCTTGGCTAAGTAGCTTGGAACAATGAACCATTTCAACAGACAACTAGAGTGAGAGAGGAGGAGGAAAAATATAACTTCAGAGGAATAGTGAAGACTGCATCGCTTTGTTGGGCTTTCACTCTATTAAAATGTTTGTTATTCTTCACCGCCAGAATGATGGTGCTAGAAGGTCTCAGCTTTCATGCCATGGCTGTGGTATCTGGGGCAGCTCAGGACTTCATGGTGACTATAAAAATCATGCCATTTCCACATGTTGTTGGCCCAACACACACAAGAGGACACACTCTTGATCCGGTTTTCTTGAATGGGCAGGAGGATGATGATCCAAAAATATGCAGATGACACCCAGCTCTATTTCTGCTTTTCATCCAATTCAGGTAAGGAAGTGACTATTCTGAATCAGTGTCTGGACATGGTAATGAACTGAATGAGTGCCAGTAAACTGAGACTCAATCCAGACAAGACAGAGGTACTGTTGGTGGGTGGTTCACTGCCTAGCATGAGTGAAGTGGGTTGCATTCCCACTAAAGGATCAGATTTACAGTTTGGGGGTGCTCCTGGACCAAGATCCATCACAGTTACACTCAGCTTAAGACCGATACACCAACCACATCCTTATCTGGACAGGGACAGCCTAGCTACAGTTATTCATGCTCAGATCACCTCAGGGTTGGATTATTGCAATGTGTCATATGTGGGGCTGCCTGTGAAAATGGTCTGGAAGCTTCTGCTTGTCCAAAACAAGGCTGCAAGCTTAAACAAGGACTGGCCAACATCATCTTATTAGGCCAGTACTTTACCAACTGCACTGCTTGCTGGTTCATGTCCAGGCCCAATTCAAAGTGCTGGTATTAACATTCAAAACCATAAAGAGGCCTTTTTTGTTGTGGCATCCCAGCTCTGGAATAAACACTCAGGGAGGCTCACCTGGCAACTATATTGTACTCTTTTCAGCACCTTACTTTTCCAGGAATACTCCCAGGAATTCTTCACACTATTTTAAATTCTGTATTGAATTTTAAATCTTTTGTACTGCTAGTGGTTTTACTCTAGTTTTTACTTTTATCTTACTGTTGTTTTAGATATTTAAATTTTTAGACTGCTTTTTTGTTTAAAATTATTTTAAATTGATGTGAGCAGCCCAGAGAGCTTCAGCTACAGGACAGCATAAAAATGTAACAGATACGTTTAATGGCATTCTTGATTTAATATGATGTTTGCTCCTGTGTTTCATGGTGTTATATGATGCTTTGATGTTTTCATTACATATCGTTCTGGGAACTTGGTAGGTGGAGGCTGCAATGTATAAATGTGATTTATAAATCTAATGAACAAATAATAGTTTTCACTGAAGTGTACATAGAGCTGCAGATGTTTTGCAAACAGCTGATGACAGAAGCTGAAAGAAATTTCAGCAAACTAGCACTCATCAAAAACTAGTTCTTCAGCAGGGCAAAAAGTTAAGTCATCAAGCTATTTAGTCTGTTGAGTGTGAGCTTGCAGGACACATTTACTGTGGAGAAACCATTTATGATTACATATATATCCATATTCTCTTTCTCTCTCTCCCTCCCTTGCTCTCTCTCTCTCTCTCTCTGTGTCTGTATTATTTATATATAAAATGTGTGCCCTCAAGAATAAACATGTACAGTCTGACATACTGGGAGACCAGACCCACCAGACCCAATGTGTATCCCTCCCTTGGCACACACATGCACCTGAGCACGCATGGCTTCCTCTGCTCATCCATACCTGCAGGCTCCCATGATCCTTCTCTCTGACCACTTATACCTTCCCCAGGTTCCTGTCCTTAGCCCTCTCTGGCTGCCCACCTCCTTGAGCAGCTTTGCCCCTAAGCATCCAGCCCATTACTACTCAGCCTTTCTTATGCCCACAAGGAAGGAAGGAGGAGCAGTGGTGGCAAGAGGAAGTAGAGGTAGAGCTGGAGTAGGGAGGTCTAGAAAGTTAATGAGTGGGGAGGAAGCTAAGCTGGACTGAGTGTGGTGCTCTGTCCAGTGAGGGAGGGAGACTGGGGTCTGGAAGTGGCGAATGGGAATGGGAAAAGGAGTGGAGGGGATTCAAAGCAGTGAGGTGCTCAGTGGTAGGAACAGCAAAAGACAAATGGGCAGAGGAAAGCAGGAACTGCCCATCCAGAGTGCTTGTGAAGTGTTGGGCCTTTCTTTAAATGAAGCACTTCTTGTTCTTCAGCCCTTGTTTCAGAGAAACCTCCTGATGGGGTGCTGTCATTTCCATCTTAGCCAGGAGGAACTGAGTCTGAAAGGCAGTGATTTGCCTATGACCATGCAATGGCCACAGGCCAGACGCCCTCCCCCCTTCCCACCCATAACACAATCATGTGATGTGAGCTCCAGCAGCGCTGAAGGGGAAGTGCAGCCACACCCCATATCCAGTATCTTTTGCAAGCTGTCCTGACAACTTTGGCTGCCTTGCTGTTGTAACAGCAGCAACAACTTGTAATTTCTCACTGTTGACATCCAGCTGTTCAGCATGGCTGTGGGGAATCCCACATGGGCAGGGCTCTATATGCACAGGCCCTTGAAGACGGTCCGGCAATTGCAACTGGTGCAGAATTGGGCTGCTCGCTTGGTAACTGGTACTGCCAGAGTGGCCCATATAACACCAGTGCTGAAATAACTTCACTGGCTACCAGTTGTGGCCTGGGCCCAATTCAAGGTGCTTGTATTGACATATAAAGCCCTAAACAGCTTGGGACCTGGCTATCTAAAGGGCCGTCTGCACCTATATATACCTACCCACCCCCTTAGATCAGCCCAGGAGGCCCTTCTACAAGAACCACCCCTCAGGGAGATGAGAAGGGTAGCAACTAGGTAAAGGGCCTTTTCTGCTGCTGCTCCCCATCTCTGGAACTCCCTCCCTAGGGAAATTGGCCTGGCTCCATCTCTATTTTTCTTTCAATGCCAGGCAAAGACATATCTTTTTAGGAAATTTTTAAATGTTTAGCCTGTATGCTGAAGCCCCTTTTAACTGTTTTTAGATGTTTAATTCGTTATGTTTTTAATGTGTTTTTATCCTGTTAGTATGCATTGTAAGCTACCTAGGAAGGCCTCAGCAATAATAGGTGGCCTATAATTACATATAAATAAATAAATAAATAAATAAATAAATAAATGTGAGCTGGGGCCCCAGTTGCACAGGATTCCAGAAGATCTCATGGCCCATGAGGTCCATGCAGGTAGGCCTCGTGCTACAGATACCTCCAGGCAAGCACATGGACTTCAGCAGGGGCTCTGGGGAAGCCAATGGAGCAGCGACACAACCCCATAGGGTTTATCTGCTGAGATTCCTAACCAGGTCCTGTCCTGCACCAGAGCAAAGTGGTAGGTGGAGGCGGTGCAACTGTGTGCCTGAGAGGAGGCAAAAGAGTGAGGCCATTGTAGAATGCTTCTGCAAGTCAAGGATGGTTCTCCTCTGCTTACTTATTGGATCCATTTACCATATCTAAAATGAGATCTCTATGTGGTTTTTGACAAAATCCAAAATGTTGTCCAACCTGGATCATAACATACATTCCTTCAGAAGCAGGTTTACTTATAATAAGCAGCAATATTTTAAGAAGAGGGTTATACAGTATTTCTTCCTGGTACGCTAAATGATTTACTGTATGCAGGTAACTTTTTATGCAGCGGAGGGGGGGGGGAACTAACAAAAAGCTATCCACCAGCTACATTCTGCAGTGATGTATGGTCCCACCGATTACCTCTGAAAACAACTACTTCATTTGTGCCTCCTTCTGCATCTGCCTACTTCTGGATGATGGATATTGACAAGTACGTTAAAACCTGGCTGGGGTTCATGATACAAACGGAGCAAAATCTCCTTTCCCTTCTCCCCAGAAACAGGATGTGGTTGCCTTAGAGGGGTTGCTTCACCCAGTAGAAGATGAAAGGAAGAAGCCAGTGCCTCTTCGTCTTTTTGACCCAGCCAGGGCTTCCTTCCTTCCTTGCCACACTAAAGAAGAATGCAGATTGTCAAGTAGTATCTGAACTGAGAGGCAGTAAAAGGCAACAGACAAAGGAAGGGGGGTTAGTTCCATCTTTTATGGTATCACCTAACTTACCTTGGCTGGTCATGGTTAGTGGCCTGGGTAAGAGGAAGGCTTTAGGAGATTGTAGGCTCTTGTCTTGTGTGCAGGCATGCTTGATTCAACTGAATCCAACCACCTCTGCGGTTCGAGAATTTGCAGTAACTTGAATGTCACAAACAGCTGTCAACAAAGGCATGCCCAGAAAGCTGGCTTCTGTCCTTCCTTGTAATTCTGGAGGTCTGCACATCAGAAGTGAGAACTCTATTTCCACATAATGGGTTGGATCCAGTATCTGCCCCTGCAAGAGGAAGAGATCTACCCACAAGTGGTTCCTCTGCCTGATTTGGGGCCTGTCATTCATATTGCTGTTCACCCCATTCAGCAGGGTTCCTGATTCTCCATGTAGCACTTCCAGGGAGGTAGAGGAATTGGAGAAAGTCTACTTCCGCCAGCATGGCTGATCCAGTATAAATCTTGATCAGATCCAATGTAACCGACTGGGGCTAGCCTTACTTGTGGTAAAGGAAGGGTAGCCAGGCTATAGGAACAGCCAGGAAAAAGGCTTTTGATTTTAACTGGGAGGGCCTGAATGGTGGAATATTAATGTTACCACTAATTGTAGTTATAACTGGAGACATCTATGAAAGGGAAAAATAGTTGATCTTGAAAGAGAATAGCACACCATCCTCCCACCCACCCACTCTAAGTCTCCTTCTATCATTTTGTGTGTAATTGTGGGCCTTCAAAATGGCATGAGTTGGCCAAGGGTGTGAGTGCTATTTATCTCTAAAATGTGTACCCTGCATTCCTAGACTGACAGACTCTGCAGAGCATCTGCAGTCAATTTAAAACATAAAAACCCAACAACACAGCCTGCCCCCGCAACAAATAAAATATTCAAGAACCATAATAACAAGAAAAAGGCAACACATAATGAAAAAACAGAAGGGCAAAATAACCACCCAAGGTGCACAGAATAGAAGTGATTCTACTAAAAATAGTTGTGGTGAACATTAGTCCTCAGCCTTCTCCCAGTGTCTTCCTGTATACAAAGAACATGACCGTCCTCCTGACCATTAGTTGTCTAAGCAAGCCTCTGACCGAGTTCTAGATGGAGGGTGCCACTGCTGACTTAGTTATTACCTGCCAAATCCAGACAGCACATGGAGGTCAGGTGGGAATACACACAGCAGGGTAGCAAAATGTGGCAGACCAGCCTGGTGGAGATAACACAGCCACTAGCCACTGGGAGTCCATCACCCTTTTGCACCTCCCATTCAAAACACAAAGGCTGAGTTCACATGACACATTAACTCCCATGAGAATTTTACCTGCGAACAGCAGGGCTTTGGGTCCCTTCCCACCATTCCTCTGCAGTATCCTGGGGGACACTGCAGGAGCACGAAGAAAGTGGCAGAATGTTGGCCTTTTTAGCCCATGTCATCTGCTTCCCCATCCAGCTCTCCTGCCAATTCCAGAGAGCTGGATTGCTTAAGCAAATCCCACTCTGCTGACTTCAGCTGGAGTGCTGTGTGGGGAACCTGTAGCAGGGGGTGAAGGGAAGGTCCCCCTGGGGCTGGGCTCTGAAGCTCGGGGGTGGCGTAGCCTGGCTGAGCAGTGTGGAAGCTGCCTGAACCCTTGGCCTGCTTGTTAGCTGCAGTGCATCCTGGCTGACCAGTGGCCAAGAGCTATATTTGGCCGGGTCTTCCTGGGACCACACTGGGACCACCCTGGACCACCCTGCAGTCCTCCATCCCCAGATGTTGTGGGTGCCACATCACCCAGGAACTGGTGGGGCGAGCTGGTGTTTGTCTGCACTCCTTCCCATGTCCCAACTGGGGATTGGGACCATGGTATGGGGCAGCCACACCTGCCCATGTGTCTGAAGTGCACTGGGCAGGCAATGGGCTCACCCTCTACCCCAGTTCTTCCTTTCCCTTCTTCCAGAGAATCTCAGCAGGATCCATCCCTATTCTCCCTGCTCCCAATGGGGCTGGGATGCTGGGGCACTGTGTATGCCTTCCTTGAGAAGAAGACAAATGGAGCGCCTTGTTCCTGCTGATGATGGCTGCAGTGTGGTGGCAGGCAAGCGAGATCCACCCCTGCTTCCTCCTCTCTTTGCTGCGAAAAGAACAAGCAGGGCCACTCCTCCCCACCTACCATCACAGCTGGTGACAGCACTGATGGGCAGGATCCTGCCATTTGGCCCTGCTTCCTCATGAGGCATCTTCCACCGTGTCATGTTTGGGACCTGGGGAAGCAGCACACTGTGGCACCCAAGGTTTCCTGAGGCTCCATCTGATGCCAGCAGGAGAGCAAGGACACTCATGAAAAATCCTTTGTACTTCCCACATCAGCAGGAGCCCAGGTGAACCTGCAGTTTGCCAGCTGTCATCTAGTGGAGCCCCTTGGCCACAGTGGCAAAGGACTTTCACTGTTCTGGCCAGCTTGTCCATGGATTAACATGTCACCTCAATTGGGGTGACATGTTAACCCACAAGGTTAATTTACCCATAGTACCCAAGGTTAACCCAAGGTTAATTAACCCATAGAACAAGCCATGGGTAACTGAGGCAGTGTGTAATGGTTAAGAGTGTGGAACCAAGACTCAGGCTATTGGGGTTCTAGCCCCCACTCAGCCCTGGAGCTCACTGGATGAATTTGGGTCAGTCACAGACTCTCAGATGCCATCTCACAGGGCTGTTGTTGTAAAGATAAGATTGAGAGGAGGAGTAAGCCATCTTAAATTCCTTGAAAGGAAAAAAAAGGTGGAATATAATAAAAAATAAATGCAGGGGTGGTTTCTAAGCCACACCTGGGCTTATAGATCACCCTCAGGAAGAGTGCTGAGTTCAGATGACACGTTAATTCACTTGTGTCTTATAGACCATGGTGGGTTAGTGTGTTGTGTTAACACAAGCAAGGAGCAGCTATGCTTGGCAGGTCTTGGAAAACAAGCATCAGCAGGTTTAATAAAAGCCAGATTATAGGTCAGAAAAGCAAGATCCTGACACCTAGGGGAGTGTGATCTTAGGCAGCACACAAGTCAGGAAATGTTTACAACTTCGCCTGCTAATGTTTAATATATTCCTCCCCTTCCTGCGAGTTATGTCATGTCTACCAATGACTGATCATGGGAAAACAATTGGTCTAGCTCTTCTTTACTTCATTGTTTGATATGGATCAATTGGCATACATAATCATATCTCTATGTAATAGACAGTGTTTCATACAAGGCTAAACTTAAAACAGGCTATGCAGTTGTGTATATATGTGACTTAAGGAGTACCTTTCAAAGGATATTTGAAATCTGTACCAAGAAACATTGAAACTCTGAATGCTTCCAAATTGTGAAAATGGCATGTATTTGCCCATTTGACTTAATTTCTTTTGCTTTTTCTGTCAATGAAAACTGGCAAACAGCTTTGGAGAGCACTAAAGCCCCGGACTCTTGCCACCAGACATCTTTCCTTGGTTCCCTCTGTCTTGCACTTGCTGAGATTTCATCAGGTACTGTTCTTACTGCTCCAAACCTATTTGAGCTGTCATGAGGCCTGGAAACTTACAACCGGAGTGGGAAGGATTACATTCTGAAGCAAATTGCTATTCATGTAAATCTTGTATGCATACACCATATCCTATATAATCTCTCTTTTCAAATCAAGGGTACATATTTGGACACATTTTCTTCAACTTTCAGCCTGAAAGCCAAATTCCATTCCAGAGACACTCTCAGGATACGGCCAAAGGCAAATGCGGAGGGACAAAAATACAGATATATTGTAGGTTAAAGCTCTTGCTGCCAGTTTGAAAGCTTTAGGTATTTTAACCTTTTAGAATGCAGTGGAAAGAACCTGAGCAAAAGCTAGGAAGCTACCAAACAATGGGGGTGGGGTGGGGACAGAGCTGGGAAGCTTATCAGGACACCAGGAGGACTGAATCTGATCCCCAGGTTCAAGGCTATGCACATCTGTCATAGAATATCCACACCATTTCCCTCCACATTTTTTCATCCCTTTCACTCTGCCTATGGGGTCCCCCCACACCTCATTTCCATATTTATTCTCTGTTCTCCCCAAATGTCACCATGTGCAGGTCACTGATTTTCTAGCTCTGCTGCTGATTGATCCCAAACACATCAATGAACCTCCAAAAACTACTAAATAAAGAGAGTGCTGGTACCTTGAAAACAGCTAAATTAAACTAGCTCCTTGTTATTTAGAGTCACTGCCTTTTGTTCTACCCTCAGGAAAATCACTCACATTGCAAATTTTTATCCCCAGATACAACATTAGCAGAAATTCAGGGCAGGGGAATCACTGACAACCACCAAAAGTGTGGCTTGGGCACCTTATGGTGGCTGCCATCCCTACTAAGCTTTCATTGCTGCTGCATGGTTTTCCTTAGCTTACTGGCAGAAGCAGTAAAGGTGGAAGAGGTACCTCGTGATCCCCACCCTTCCTCATTGTTCATTGGGCAGAGTGGGAGTCCCAGGCTAATTTAAACCAACCAGGCTTACAGTGTTGGGCAAATCTGTGAATGGACTGCATGTCAATTTGTACAAAAAATTCCCATGCCCTCTTTTGTAAATGCAGGAAGGCACTCTGCGCTTTTTTCTTTACTCTCGCTTGCAGCGTTAACATCTATTCTGCATGTGTCAGGCCCCTACCGGAAATAATGTTCTAACCCAGACAGGGAAAGATGTTGAGTTATTTAAGCATTCAACACTTTCTGTGAAATGAGGTAAGAGAAGGGAACCTGAAGGGAAGTGGAACTTCTGGGCACAAGCGAACTCTAAAAACATCCACAATGAAGAAAGAGAACCAATGCCTACTTTTCCTTGCCTTGCAAGTTAAATTGATGAAATGGAGGTCTGAATGGGCATCAAGAACAACTTTTCATTCATGTAGCACCATGGGATTGGTGCATCCATCTTGACCATGTGAGTCAACAGGGCGCACAAATCTGTTCTCTCACATGAAAGAACTATCTATACCCATTTAGTATAAAAAGTAAATGCCTTTCAGGGTTTGATCAGATGTACAATGGATTGACTGTGGTGGCAGAAAAGGACTTTCTTGGCCCTTCCTTCTCACAGCAGCCCTGAAAATGCTACACAGGGCAGTCAGGAGATCCTGCTGAATGGGGTGAGCTGTGCTGTGTGTGGGATCCCCAGAAAACAGGCTGCAAGGGACTTCTCTGAGCAAAGTCCTTCCTCTTGCGGAAGGCAGCTTCTGGATCCAACCCCCGTTTTCCATTCCCTTCATTCCCATAACAGCCTTCTGATGAAGGTTGCCATTTCACAGATGAGGAACTGAGACTGACCTTGAAGCCAAGACTCCACAGACACTTCCCCACCCTCCATCACAGAATAGAAACCCCCAGGTTCATAGGCAACTTTTGGTATAAAATTTGTTAAAAAAAATCTTGATCCCAAGCAATTTGGGGTACTTTTTATCTCATCTAGCCTGAGCTCAAAATATCTCAGTCTGTTTTTATTCATTTTTGTACAGAAATCAGAAATATTTTTTTCTTGGATATCTTGGTGTGCTCATTTTTCAAAAGCCCTTCATTTAGCATGAAAAATCACACCATAAACTGGAGTCAATGAACACAGGTTTATATTTAAGAGATGTTGTTCTGTACCTGCTCTTAAACCTTCACTCCAAGCTTTATCTATCAATTAAGAACCCATTCCTCAACAGTTCAACACCATTTCAAATGGCTCCAACCATCCATCCTCTGTCTTCCCCTTTCATTGGTCCAGGAGACCCCTTTCACAGTCAGCGTCACATACACCAAGCTCTCTAGCAGGCTACAGGGGGATCAGTTGTGATGGCTTTGGGTTATGCCTTCCTTTCATTTCTAATAATCTGGAAGATTTCCCCCTTCCTTGGTGCCTTTACCAAGGGGCTCCAAGGGATCATAGTTAAGGGCTTCCTATGAACATGGCAAGCAGAGTTTTCATCACTTTCAGACCTCATATTTGGGAATGAAGTTTCAGCACATCTGATGGACACTTAGCAACCCATGTGTATATGCTTCTTTTCTCTTGTAGCATGATGCTTAGCCCTATTTCTTGAGTAGAAAGAGTGGACGACTTATATAATCATGATCACCAGCACCACCACCTTTACTTAGAACCTTGAGATACACCAGTTGGAATCTGATGAAAAACACCAACACAAGAAATTAAATATTTCTGTGCCCAGAAATCTGCTTTAAATACCAAAACAAATGGAGCTTGTGGTCCTTTCAAACACACACACACACACATACCCTCTTCTGGTTTCCTCAAATGGTCTTCATAGGTTCCCTCAAATGGTCAGCAGCATAACTGAAGTTAGAGAATGAGTCATTTTGCTGCTGCTATTGTGAAACACTTGGGAGCCAAAAAACCCCAGCCAATAAACAGCAAAATCATCCAGAGATCTACTTCTGCACACCCCGGATCTTTTATTTTGAGATTTATGTGGACACTTCTTCCACAAGGCATATTGTTTGCTCCTGGACGGAGCTTGTGCCACAGCACAGTGGTCCGTAAACTACAGCTAGTTTATCAGACGATTGCTGTAGTATTGACATGGGCTCAGTGGATGTGAGAGCCTGCCTTCAGTCAGGAAGTGGACAGCATGATTTCTCTGTCCTTTTCATCTCTATGATACTACTAAGATTTTGTGTTCCACAGGTAGGCATGTGCCCAGAAGCATAAAGTTAGGCAAAAATGGTCAGAAAATAGAAAGATCTGCTAAGTATCTGCTAAGCCTTGAGTATGGCTGACAGTGGATGGGTCACTCTGCCGGTGCCCCATAGGTTGTGTAAAGACCTTCCACTGAAACTATTCATCAAAGTGCTAAAAGAAATATGAAGAGCATTTTCTAACATTGTGTAGACACAGAAATGTATTGGCACAGTTCACAAAGTGAATACTTACAATGCAAATCTTTCAAAATCAGGGTTTTAAAATATGTGTTTCTCAAGCTTTAGGAGAGATTCAAACTTGGGTGTGCAGACACACATCAATGACTCAAATGTTCAGAAGATAATTTAAGTGTCAGCCTTCTAAATGCTAAGCTTGGACCCCAAATATGCAATGCCCCTTTCCATAAATGCCAAATATTTCCAACTATGTTCTGAGCCTTTTTTCCAATTGAGGATACAGTAAAGATACAATAGGATTCCTGTTTTCTATAAACAGCTGAACTGAACTCTAAGAATCTACTTTTTTAAAGACTGAATGGATTGGAGACAAATGGCTGCTGGTGCCCTACAGAGACATTTTTCTTCACGCTATACACACTCATTTCTTTTGCTCCATTGTTACCTTGGGCCAAACAGGTTTTGCAGGTTGCTGACTCTCTGAAAAACCTGTTCATCACAGAAGACACTGACTATTCACCATAAGTAACAATGCTTCTTTTGTACTACTTTCAACTCTGAGGTGGGGAAAAGCCTTTCTCTGGCCTCAAATAAATTGTTGGCACCATCCAGGCTTTATGACTATGGACTGAACTCCAAAGAGACTATCCTCCAATGGATAACTACAAAAAACCTACAACAGGCTCCAGATGAGTCCTGGGGATGGCCTGTGATACCCCAGAGATACGTTTTCTACTCGTTGTTTAAAGAGATCAGAAGTTTGCTTCACCTACCGGCAGGTTCAGGGTTTGCCATGGCCAAGTCCTCAGCAGGTGTTCCCGGTATGAATCCCAGCCCAAATCCTTGGATGACTCAAAAACCTCCAGCTCTGGCAGGGGACTCCATAGATTTGGCATACTTTGCAGAGCCTTGTTGGTCTGTGAGCTCGCAGCCACTCAGACTTTGCTGCTTCCTGCTGACAGCATTTCCGTGTGAGGAAACTGATTTGTCCCTTTGATTTGCATACTTTTTACTGTGCAAGAAAAAGGGCCCGTGGACAACCCAACTCGCTGTGCTATCCCCTGCAACCACACTGAATCTCACAGATGTGAGTGTCTACTCTGGAAGAACACTGTATTTGCATCACCTCCTCTAACACTAAATGCCTATTGGTTTTTGAGGCCCTTTTCACCATCAAAAAAATTGGAGAGGGAGAGGGGAAGGAAAAAAGGGCCTTTTCCGTTGTGGTGGTTAAAACTGTAGAATTGTCTCACGGGGGGAGGGGGGCGGGTCTTTACCTGTTTTAAACAGGGTCCTAACAGCATCTTATTTAGGCAGGCCATTTAAAAAGAGTTTTAGCTGCAGTCTGAGAAGTTTTATGATACTGCTTGCTGCTATGTTTGAAATTTTTATGGTTGCAACTGTATTTTAACTTGCTTTATAACTGGTAGCTTTGTTTTATAAGCCACCTGGACACTGCTGGGTACAGAAAAGCAGGATGTACACATGTGTGCATGCACTTGTAAGTTACCTCCAATGGGGGGAACCCCGGGGTACACCTGGCACAGGCCAACAACATCCATAGTGCATTTCCAAAATGTGTCATAGATCACAGAAATCCTTACGGTAGGCCCATCAGGTTGGCTTCTCCTGTTATCCCCAGATCAAAGCTAAGTACTGATGCTGAGAGACTAGGAGCCTGCCTCTTGGTTTGAGAGAGGCATCACTCCTAACAATGCATCAGTCTTGCGCTCTGACAATGGGTGAGCTGGGACTACATGCTGGGTGAAAACTGGAACAAGGTGGGTTGCAAAAGCTGCCCTTTATATAAAGGTAAAGGTTTCCCCTTGACATTAAGTCCAGTCATGCCTGACTCTAGGGGGCTGTGCTCATCTCCGTCTCCTAGCCGAGGGAGCCAACGTTTGTCCGCAGACAGTCTCCATGGGCATGTGGCCGGCATGGCTAAACACCGAAGTGCACAGAACAACAGAGCAACGGGAACTCACTCCGTTGTGCAGATTCGAACCGGTGACCTTTCGATCAACCAGCCCAGCAGCACAGCGGTTTAAACCACTGCCCCACCTGCAGTCCCTGTCCTTTATATAGATACCTGCTATATAAGATGCAAGTTCGGGTTAAAGGTCTGAAAAGGCTGAGAACAGTGTAGATCAGGGGATGAGTCGACCCAGTTTGGGCAGGCTTTGTAACAGAAACCCCACAGAGCATTGAAGTGTTTTCACTCCTGGCACTTTTACCACTTAAGGTGGCTTTCCTCAATCTGGTACCTTCCAGCTGGGTTGGACTATAATTCCTAACATCCCCCCAATCATGCCGCCTGATGATGGAGGGAGCTGAAGCCCAACAACAGTTTGGGGAAGGCTGACTTAAGTTTTATCTAATCTGAAGCTATTTGGGATATGTATCCTTGCTTAAGAATGTGTGCCTTGGCTGATCAAGCCAAGACCCATTTAATCTAAGTGTTCTCTGTGAGGATTGCCACAACCAGTGAGCATCATGTAATTTGCTAGTGAACGGCAGTCTACTTTCCACCCATTCCTGACGCAGACACACTTTTGTGCACATGGGTAAACCACAGTCAGTGTTGATCAAGCAGGTTTTGAAGGGGGTTAAAACAATTCCAAAACTTGTAAGACCTGTTTTGCCAGAGGCAAAGGTTGAAACGAGGATGATCCATCCTTTACATGAGAGGTGTAGAAACTCTTTCAGCCCAAGGGATGACTTTCGTTTCAGAGGAGCTCTAGGGACCAAGTTGTGGGCAGGGCCAAAGGCAAAAGAGGCAGGACCAAAATCCCCCAAATTTGAGCTTAATATTCAGCCAAAGAGTTCCTGTGGCCCCTAGGCAGCATCAACAGGGCCACAGGATTTTTCAGAGTCCGAGCTTCAACTTTCAAAAATGGCCTTTTCACTTTGGCATTGGGACTCTGTGCTCCAAGTGCCCTTACCCCTCAATTCCAGTTGATGCACCAAATATGAACAGTAATATACTAGAGACAGGTAACAGAAATTAGGGACTGTCCCCTGATAAGCAAGAAGAGGTGGAACACACAAGATTTCACACCTACATGGTTTCAAAGCTACCTGTGCTGTCGTCATGGGCAGAATGATGCTAAAAAAAGAAGTGCTGAATCCTGCATTCATACCAGCTCCTGGGTGTCTATCAATCATGTGACTATACATTTGCAGGGCTTCCTGCAGTGCCTTCCTCTCAGCCTTCTCTTGTTCCAAACGTGTTTTGAATGTTTAACACTTGTTCAAAACATGATGGATGCTACTTTAGCACAGGCTTCCCCAGCCTGGTGTGTCTTACAGATGTATGGAGATAGCTTTCATCCTCCCTTGCCCATGCTGGCTAGGGTCAATGGGAGTTGTAGTGCTGGAGAGCAGCAGGTTGGAAAGGCTGCCTCGGCAGACTTTTACAAGCCTCTTGGCACTGCACTGTGCAATGGAAGAATCACCTCTCAGAAGAAAGTTAAAAGGGATTTAAGGCTGGGTTAAGCCACAGCAAACTAGATGCCCCCCATTGTTCAGACTGTATGAATAATCATAAGCCGATATGGCAAAAAAGCAAGCCAGAAAGAGGAAGCTGGGTTTTGTGCTACTGCTTCTGCATTTTCTAAACCACAAAAGACGTCTTGGTAAAAAGACAACCTCCCAAAATGTATTTGCAAACATGCTGCTATCTGGCAGCCTTTTGCCCAGATTCAGTAGGGCAGGAACAAATCAAACTCCACGTGAAATTCCAAGCAGCTCTATATTGCAACACATACCTTTTAACCAATGTCTAAAAGTTTGCATGAACAACAAAAGGTGGTGAGGGAATCTAGTGACCAAATGCCCATCTCTCCAGCTATAAAAATTATTGCACATAGAAAACTAGAGTCTAGGGAGCAATGAAGGCAGTGCCCTCCTGCAAAAGCCAGCTTGTGTACTAAATCCATCAAACAATATTTTTAAGACCCTCAGGAGAGGCCCTTCAATCCCTCCAGAACATTTGAAGTGAGTCTCATGGGAGCTGATGAGAAGACCCCTTGGTCTTGCTTCCAGGCTGGAACTCCTCGCCAAGGGCCTGGCTAAGCCTCATTTCTGATTATTTTCTGTCAGCAGGCAAAGATAATTTCAATTATGAGGGGCTTTGGCCTACAACTTGTAAATAAGTTGTAATTTGTTTCAGCTGATAGTTGTAGTGATGCTTTAAAAATGCTTTTCCTGCTTTAATGGCTCTGTTTTTCTGTTTTGTATCTCATTGTTTTCCCAGGCAGTATCTAGTATTGTTGATGTGCTCATGGTTGGTCTGTTGGGCAAGAAGTACAAAAAGCAACACCAGAAATGAGGAGGAAATGCTTCTTTCCAAATTGGATAGGTCAGCAGAGCTTCCTTTTGCAAGCTCAGTTGAGTTGCCCTTTTCTGCACTTTTTCCAACTCTAGGTTATGCACATTTTTTTAAAGGTGAGATGACTAGAAACCATATAGAGTATTCTAAGTATGGTTGCACAAGAGATTTGTAAGGGCTGGATGATTCTGGGAATTTTAGTTTTGATTCCATTTTTAATTATGCCTGTCCCCACAATACCTTCTCTTCATACACAGTCTGAATGCCTGAAAACTGCTAAGGAAAAGCTTCACATGCCTTATAAAGTGGCTATTTTAAAAAGTGCAAGATCAGATCAAGGCGGGTTTCATTCCAGCCAGTTGACACAACCCTAGATCCAAGTTGGCCTTTCAGCAGCAACCAGACCAAATAAACAATGGGAAAATTGGGCCTGAGACAAATCAAAGCAGGGACAGAGCAGGGTATACACCAGGGTTCCTCAAACTTTTTCAACAGGGGCCAGTTGAAAGGTGCCGGTGGTGTGTGTGGGCCAGTGAGGGGGCGGGGGGCAGCGCATCTGCATGCACGCGCATGGTGAGGCAGGGGTGGGCACACGCAGTGAGTCAGTGGCAGGCATGCATGGCAAGGCTGTGGCTTGCTTGCACGATCATTTTCTCTGACTGAGTCCAAAATGACCCCCACGTGAGCAAGCCACTGCCTTGCTGCACACATGCATGAGGTGGGCAGCATCGGGTGCAGACACAGTGAGTCCAGATCCTCTGAGGCGGGCCAGATAAATGGGCATGGTGGGCTGAATCCGGCCTGTGGGTCCTAGTTTGAGGATCCATGGTTACACACTCTGAGGTAAATTCGGGTGAATAACTGAACATGAGAGTGTAGATGCCCAGCTGTTCTTCTCAGGATGTTTCCATTCACCACAGACCATGTGACAACTTCCTCTTTAAATACAGGCCCCAGCCCCAGAGTGACTAAGGACCTCCCTACAATTGTTTAGGAAGAAAGAAAGCATGTACTTGCTGGGAAAAGGAGACCAACAGAAAGCTTAAGGGACATCTAAGCGACCTTTATGGAAGTAGCAACCCAATGTTCTTGGAAACTTGACCCAGGAAGCCCTTAATCACTGGCATCACATCTGCACAAGAGAGGTCTGGCAACCAGTGCTTGTGTGATCCAGTAGGGAATGAGGGACACCATTCCTTTTATTTACACTTGAATAAGCTTGGACTGAATTTGCATGATCCCTGGGCCCATGGCATGTTCATTGCACGCTCTGTGCTTTGCTTAACTCCCGTCATGGCGTTCAGCTTCCCATGCCCTCTGGACCCATTGAAATTGGCTTATTATAAGCTGTCCCAAGACATTTGTAGGGGATGGGATAGAAAAGCTTGTAATAAATAAATAAATAAGCTTGTAATAAATAACTAAATAAGTTTGTAACAAATAAATAAATAGTTTGCAGTGTAGAGAGGGGTCTACAAAACTGTGGTGGCCGGGCTGGTTTCTGAGTGCCCCCTCCATGCACCTTCCTGCATTCAGATGACACAGGAAGCCACATACCGTAAGGGCACTTAGGCAAATTACATGGTACACAACCAACGCACAGGAGGTGGGGAAAGGAAACCACAATAGCTCCTTTGCCCCTGTGATAGGCTGAA